TATGTTACACGTCATCTAATTCTATATATTAAGATTTTTATATAGTTCAAATTAAAAAATTTAATAAGTAAATTTTTTAGCTAATTTTAGAGTCTTAAAAATTTAAAATATAATTAAATAATATTTTGAGTGTAAAATTAATTTTCTTGATTTCTTTTTATACTTCTTATATTTGTCAAAGGATATCTAATAATGAAAGTATAGTTTTTCTTTGGATGGAAAATAACTCACGCTAGGTTGATAATTAATGTGTTACATGTTGCTAAATATTACTGACTTTTTACATCTATACTTCCGATAAGGATTAAGGAAAGACATAATAAGAAAAATCTTAGTTGATTTTAAAGTCCTAAAAAAATTAGGAGTGATAGTAAAATGACTAATTTGTCTAGTATGAAACCATGTTTTAAAGGGTATAAAAAACGAACGACATTTCACTAAGGGGTTTCGTGCTTTTAATATAGTATAGATATAGATACTAGTTTTAGAGTATGTGCGTTGCACGTAAATATTGAGTCAATAACAAAAAAATTATTAAAAACTTATCTTCTTCTCTATATAAATAACTATTTATAGAATTAATGCAGTTAATGAGGTAGAATTTAATCAAAAAATGCAAAGACATAGTAAAATTATGAGCTAAATATTAAATGTTGTGCCAGAACAAACTGATCCTCATTTAAACAAAAATTGAAATTTTAAAAAAAAAAATAGTTGCAGCTTTCTAAATTTCATTTCACCTATAGTCTATAGACACCGCATTGAGCTTTTAAAATTTAAATACTCTTATGCTATAAGAACTGTCTGACAATTGATAAAAATATACTAACATATTAATCAAGGTGCTTGGCCCTGTCGTTACCCTTGAAAAGTAAAAGAATAAAAAATTTCAACTCAAATTTAAACAATTGCGCTCTTTAATCAACAAGAAAGAATAAAATAAAAGAAATCATCATACTCCTACATATTGGCAATACAATGCAATAAAAAATTTCAACTCAAATTTATTCAAAAGAATCTTGTAAATGAAAACTCATAACATAGAAAATTTAGAGGAAGAGAAACAATAGAAAATAGATACATTAAAGAAGAAAGGCCAGGACCGAAAATATAAACATACAAGATCATTCAAAATTAACACTACTTAAATACAATCACATACAATGATAGTGATGTAGAGATTTTGACATTATTTTCTAATTTTTTGGCACATCAGGAAAAGTATCAAAATCATTGGCCTCAGGAAAGACTAATATTCGTACTTGAGATTGATAAAGCGGCTAACTCATACAATTAAAGCAAGACGGAATGCTTAGTCCATCTGGATACAATAGCATACAGTGTTATGTGAAGTAGTTCATCTTGGTTATTTTCGATGGAAAACTTGTTCCAATTTTTTTTATTGGCCATTCATATAGCTTCGTATGAACGTGAATCTTTTTTGAAATTAGAACTCTATTAGGAGTTTGTTTTAGTGCCTTCCTTACGTGGGAGATTAGAATATCTAATTGCATTGGAAAGAAATAGGAGTTACAAAAAGTCACGGTGGAGAATTCATAGTAGATCTCAAAAACCTAAATATTACTCCCTCCGGTCCAAAATAAGTGATTTTTTGGTTTTTTTTGTGGTCCAAAATAAGTAATTTTTTCAGATTTCAAGAATGAATTAATTATTTTTTTTCCTACATTGTCCTTAGAGTAAATAGTGTTGGAGTATGTGTTATGAGTGTTTATGTGAGATAGTAAATATTAATATGGTCAATTTCATGACTCATTAATATTAAAAGGTGGATTTCTTAATTTATGTGAAAACATCCAAAAAAATACTTATTTTGGACCGGAGGGAGTAGTTAAGTAAAAAAGTGAAAGTATTAATTGTGGTTCTTTATTCCCTTTTTAACCTACGTACTTAAAGGGAAAAATATCTCCTAAAGTGACATGGCTGGAATATGAACCGACCTTAATGAGTTTGAAACCTACTCATTCTTTCTTCCATTTCCTTTTTAAATCTCACGAAAATTTGATTTTTTTTAATAAGCAAACAAATACTTAATATCTATTTACAATTTTATCCAACATAAAATATTTATACGAAGGGTAAAAAAGGCAAACGACATTTCGATAGGAACTTCGTGCATTTAATATAGTACTAGTCTCAGGGTACGCGCTTTGCGCGTGTACCTATATCAATAAATACACAAATTTTAAAAATTACATACATATTATTAGATAATTTATTTTATAAAATAAAATTTAAGAATCTTTTTTAAAATAATAAATATTATTCCCATTAGTTAGCTTAACAAATGAAGGAATTTTATTTAGAGCCTTATTGTGATTTACCCAGATTTATGGCGAAACTTATAAAAATTATTGTTTTTATGTGACCTAATACTGAAAATAAAATATAAAAATATTTTTTATCACAATTTCTTTAAAGATTTGACAAATAACATAAATTAAAAATAAATAAAAAAAAGTTGGCATTATATCTTCTTAAAATTTGATAATGACAATGTTAAGTTTAAAGAATGACTAATATTGAACTAATATTTTACGAGCAAAAACTTAGTATAAATATTTAGCGAGACGCTTTTATTTGTTGGACTGAATGCAAGAAAGAAACAAATGACAATTTATTTATAATCTGGTTGTCTTCTAAAATTTTATCTTATTGATTATTTGTACTTTTATCGATTTGAATCTTAATTTTATACTATAATTGATTTTGCTATATTTTATGATTTTTTTCACCATCGATACTCTTCTTATAAAAATAAGGCGAAATGGTTTCCTGGCCACTTAAACTTGACGGGGTTTTAAAAGCCGATACATAAACTTATAACTTTCCCATTTGAACACTCGAACTTATTTTTTCCATAACTAATAAACATATTTAACTATTGACCATGCCCATGTGGCGTCAGTTGGTCCTAATCAACAGCCCACGTGAGGAACAGGACCCACAGGAGCGTGAAAACTCCCCTTCCCAACGCCCAACAGTACAAAATGGGTTGTGTTCTTATTTGTTCCTTCTAAAATACCCCCTCTCCATTTTTAAAAATCTGAAGCTCCATTTTCAATTTTTTTTTCATTTTTTCAGACCGTAAAAAAGGTGGAAAGTTGTATATTTTATCATTGTAGAGTTGAAGCTAAGTTTTGCATCACTTGGACCAAACGAAGCTCGATCAGAACAAGATTAACAGATAATAATACTTGAAGGTGTGCAATCCCGGTCATAAGCTTTTCTTCCACTAAGAATCTCTAGCAACACGATCCCAAAGTTATAGACATCAGTTGTCACATCTCCGTTAAGATCCTTCTTATTAGGTGTAAGCAATCCAAAATCTACAATACGAGCTCCCCAATCAGCGTCCAACAGAATGTTCGAACTCTTCACATCACGGTGCACAATAGGAGGAGAAACTTCCTTGTGAAGGTACTCGAGCCCCTTTGCAGCCTGCATCGCAATCTTCAACCTAAGGTTCCATCTCAGACAAGAAAGACCGCCGTGGAGATGGTCGTAAAGCATTCCGTGAGGCATGAGTTCGTAAACAAGAATCTGCTCCCCCATTTCTACACAATAACCTAACAAATTAACTATACTGTTGTGGCGAACACTGCAGAGGATCTCTAGCTCCATCTCAAATTCTCGATTGTTGGTGTGTATAATCGTAGCAGCATTGGCTCTCTTTACCAAATCAGGCTCATTCAAAAGGCTTGCATTAAAGAGGGGACCAGGGTTAGGGTTTTCACTCCCTTGACGTGTAAGACATCCATTGGTCATTTGCTGACTGGATGGACACGTATGTGTATGTGTAATATACGCGCACATGGTCTCTTGTCAGATGCGTTTATTAGTTATGAAAAAAATGAGTTCGAGTGTTCAAATGGAAAAATAGAAAATTTATGTATCGGCTTTAAAAAATTCGACAAGTTTAAGTGGTCAGGAAGCCATTTCGTCTAAAAATAAATTAAGTGTTTTGTCAATTTATCAAATAACTTTTCTTATATGATAAATTTGTAAAATAATTGAATTGGATTTGCTAATTAGTTAATTCAATAAATTAATTATTTGTTCTCAACGTTAAAAGAAATAAGTTAGTTTTTATTAATTTAAATTCTAAACATTAGCTTATTCTAATTTTTAAATATTTGACAATAATTATATTTTTTTCCAATAAGAATTTGATTTTCATATGTTTTGAATCTTTATGTTTTGAGAGTTCGTAACTGTTTAGTCAATTGTAAACACTTTACTCACTTGTTTTAAATAAAGTGTAACTTCGATGGCATGGAATTAGAGGAATGTAATTTACTTTTAATTCTATGTTTAGTCAATTGTTTTCTTAATAAAATAAAGTATTCTAAAATTTCTTAAAATAAAAAAGGTAAAAAAGAAAACATTCCTAGATTTCTTAACATAAATAATAAAAGAAAATACGCATCTAATAACGAATCATTAGTTATTTTGGGTTTGACATCTAATATTTAAAGGTTTTATTATATTGCCTAACGAAGAGAAATTTCAATTTAAGGAAAGTCCTAAATTTTAGGCCAAGTATATTAATGAGAATTAAATTTAAAATTTTAAATAGTAGGAAAGTAACTTAAATTACAATTTTGTCCAATATAAACTCTATTTTTAAAGGGTAAAAAAGGCGAACGACATTTCGCTAAGGGTCTTCGTGCTTTTAATATAGTATAGATGGATATGAATTTTTACGTGTAAGATTTACATACAATAAACTCTTAGTAATATTTTTAAAGGTTTTGGACTTTTTACATAATTTAAATAAGAAAAAATTTAATAAGTAAAATTTTAAACTCATAAACGTAGATACTAAGACTAGTATATAACTACAAGAAATATAAACTTGTTACCTACGTTTTTCGAACTCTATACAACTATTTATTTAACACGTTAGGAAGTAGTAATATAAACGTTCTCGTAGTGATATTAGGAATTCAGTTGATCTTCAAGGTCAGTATTGCAAATAGATGAGAGTATGGAGCTGCTACAAGAAATTTTCATCTGCGCCAGCAACCAATGTGAGGACATTCTTGACATTCGAAATAAACCATTTACTTCAACTCTGCAGCAATTTCAAAGCAATAGAGCAAGGCAAACAAACCCATCAACAAATTATCGTACATGGTCATGGTCACAACCCATTCATCATTACCAAATTGATACGAGTATATGCTGAGTGTGGCAATATAAAATCTGCTCGCTACCTGTTTGTCGAATTGTCTCAAAGAAATGTTTTTGCCTGGACGGCAATGTTATCATATTTTTCACGTAACTGCCTAATTGAAGAATGTGTGAGTACTTATAGGGAGATGAAACTAGATGGTATATTACTTGATGGCTATGTGTTTCCTCTTGTTCTGAAAGTTTGTGCAAAGTTCTCAAGCCTGGCTACTGGGGAACAAGTACACAAAGATGTAGTAGTATGTGGTGCAGAATGGAATCTCCAAGTTGGCCATTCTTTAATTGATATGTACTCAAAATGTGGTGATATTCAGAGTGCGAAACGGGTGTTTGATTTGATGCAAGAAAAAGATTTGCTTTCATGGAATTTGATTATTTCGGGATATGTATCTAATGAGTTACCTGATTTGGCTGTAGGAATGTTTGGGCTTATGAGTATGGAAGGTTGTCAGCCAGATATAGTCACTTTCAACACAGTAATGGATGCTTATTGTCGCATGGGTCGATGTGATGAGGCTAGGAAAATATTTATGCTTATCAAAGATCCAAGTATAATATCATGGACGACTTTGATATCAGGCTATTCAAGAATTGGAGAGCATAATCATGCATTGGATATTTTTAGGGAGATGATAAATAGAGGAGAAGTTTGTCCTGACCTAGATTGTCTCTCCAGTGTACTTGCGTCATGCCAACTTATCGGGGATTTAAGGAGTGCCAAGGAGATTCATGCACAGGGGATTAAAGTCGAATGGCCTTTTTCTTTTTACAGATCTTCTGGACCTGCGTTACTGACTCTTTATACTAAATGTGGGAGGATTCCAGATGCAAGGCATGTTTTTGAGTTGATGGATAAAACAGATGTTGTTGCCTGGAATTCCATGATTCATGGTTTCGCTGAACTGGGGATGAAAGGTTTGGCTTTGGAGTATTTCAAGAACATGATACCTATGGGAATAAAGATTAATGGGACTACACTTTCAAGTGTTTTGCCAGTTTTTGACCTTAAATACGGGAAACAAATTCATGCTTATATATTGCGGAGCAGTTTGTGGGATGTCACTCCCATTTGGAATGCACTTATTTACATGTATTCAAAATATGGGTGCATTGGAAATGCTTTATCTGTATTTTCTCATCTGGCTCATAAAGATATAGTGTCATGGAATACAATAATTGGTGGGTTAGGGATGCATGGTTTGGGACAAGATGCCCTGCATCTGCTGGAAAAAATGAGTCATTATGGCATTCGACCAAACGCTTTGACATTCACTTCAGTGCTTTCAGCATGCAGTCATGCAGGACTTGTTGATGAGGGGCTAGATATTTTTCACAGAATGGTGGAGGAATTTGGATTGAACCCCAGAATGGAACATTTTACTTGTGTTGTTGATTTACTAACACGAGCTGGTCGGCTTGAAGATGCCACAAGTTTTATAGGAAAAATGTGTGTTAAGCCGAACAAGCATATATGGGGTTCTTTACTTGCTGCTGCTTTGGCACACCAAAAAGTGAGCATTGGAGTTCTTGCTTCAGAGAATTTAGTTGAGTTGGAGCCTGAAAATCCAGGGCATTATATAACATTGTCAAATTTGTATACTAAAGCTGGAAGACTAAGTGATGCTCTTGCAGTGAGAAAGATAATGGAGACGAGGGGATTGGTAAAGGATTCTGGTTGTAGCTGGGTAGAAGGAAATTGAGAACAAGAAATTAGATGTAGAATATTTGCTAAATTATCACCAGATTCAAAATCCTAATTTGAGGTTTTAGCATTTGAGTGGATTAAGATGTTATTTCTTAAAATTGCTTAATGTGCCTGTTATTTTAATGGTTCAGGTAAGTTATAGATGCTAAATGTTTGCATATCCTTGAATAAGTGTTTATTTACTTTGCCATGAACACTTGACTAATCGCCTGTTTGGCCAAACCGGAGAAATCAGCTTATTTTGAGAAGTGTTTTTTTCAGAAGTGCTTTTGAAAAAAGTACTTTTGGAGAGAAGCAGTTTGTGTTTGGCTAATCAGTCTGAAAAGCACTTTTGAGAAATAATTTGTGTTTGGCCAAGCTTTTTAGAAAGTGCTTTTAAGTGTCAAATTACGAATAAGGACATGAATAGATTTACTTAATAATTAATATTATAAGTAAATAAATAATATCAAAATTTTGTTATTACATGCAATAATTAAAAAAATTCATTTTATTTAAGTAAAATATGAAAATAAAATTAAAAAATACTTAATTCTTTTAATATAAGTTAAATATATTAAAATTCCTTCAACAAATATAAAAGCATTCACCCCTAAAGTCACTATATATTAGAAAGTTTTCCTAAAAATAAGAAGAAATATTTATAAATTAATATCCTAAGTATTAGGTTTAAGGGTTATTTTGGTATATACTATATTTTGTTAATGGTATTTTAGGTAAGAAGAAAAGCCAAAACTGCTTCTGCTTTTGGAAAGAAGCTACTTTTTTCTGCTTCTCTGAAACTGTTTCTGCTTCTTCCCAAAAGTACTTTTTTCCCAAATAAGCTTGGCCAAACACCTCAAATTAGGAAAAAAAAAGTGTTTTTGAAAAAAAAAACACTTTTTTTCTCTTGAGAAACTTGGCCAAACAAGCTATAAGTTTCTTTTTTTGTCTTCAGCATTGCGGATAGTTGCACTATATCATCTTTTCTTTTTCTTCGTTCCAACCTTTTTATAAGTTGCACTACACATCCGTGGTGACCTTTAACCAGTTTGTAGGAACAACTTGTCCAATTTCTAAAATTAGGCAATTAGAAAGGCTAGTTGTTTCCTTTCTCTTTCCCCCCTTTTAATCTTCCACTGTTGTTGATTCCTGTCATTAACGTACCAACTCATCAAAAGGTGAAAATATGTGTAAGTAGTTAGGGATGGCAATGGGACGGTGCGGGGCGGGTTTGAAATTTTGTGGTTGCGGGGCGGGTTCAATTTTTAAATTTAAAAAAAATGCGGGGCGGGTGCGGGTGGGGATTTAATTTTGCTTAATGTTCAGCCCAGTTGATGCTTTGCTTTTTCCTGGTTTCCTGGTTTCACATCTTTTTATCGATAATTTTTTCTTTCAAATTATATTTTTGATACTTGACTTAGTGTATTAATGTTCACACAAGTATTAAATGTTAAGAAAAAATATTTTAATATCTCAAAAAAAATATTTACAATCAAAGTTCATTATTTTAATATAATATTAATTGGTCTTGATAGGGATATAACTGATGGAATATTTTTCAATTACAAATTTGATTTTAACATATGCAATTGATAGCTTTCAATGGCTTTACCGTTTCTTAGCCTTAATGGCCTTTTCTTTAACGTATTGGAAAATTGAAAAAGCCTTTATGGCTTTATGCATTTGAATGTTTTCTGACCAGATAGCCGATCTTCTTTAGACTATATATATACCTCTTTGTTTCATCTTCAACAGTAGTGAAAAACAAAGTTAAAACACTTTTTTTTCCCTTTTCTTTTGTGCTGGGTTTTCTTCTCGTTAATTTTTGTTGTTTCTGCTCCTAGTTATACTGGAAGAGCTTGTTGAATCCCGGGGGATACGCCTAAAATTATTTATCTCGGTGTGGGCGAAATATCCATAAGGACAGTGTCTTTGACACGCCTCAAGCTAAACCGTTTATTCTCTATAATCTTCCAATTTTTTACAACAATCTTAAGGATATTTTCACGTAATTATTATGGAGAATAACGCTGCTAATGTAAGCACGTGATTTTTGACCCTCCCCGAGAATTTTCACATTTTTAGTGTGAATATGTGAAATTGGGTCTAGTATAGCTATTTTAACTATTTTTTACTTTATTTCGTTGCAAAAAGAAAAATTACAAAAAAAGTATATATATAAATTTTAGTTTATGTATCCCTCATAAACTTGAAAAAATCAAAAATTGCACTTTATTTTGGTACTTTATATAAATTCGAAAATTAACAAAAAATATATATATAATTCTATTAATGTTTTGAAGTCATTTTAATACAAAAAATATTATTTCATATTTTTGTCTTTATTAAAAAAA